ACCACATGCGAATGACAATAAAGAATCTCTGACTCTCTGACTCCGACACCATCTTGGCCCCTCATCTCTAAGGGAGAGTCCAGCTACCCTGTGGAGAAAACTCACTTAGACTCTCGTTCTTCTAGAATCTACCCAGAATTTGTGATCATAGGTGAGGGAAGGAACGTAGACCGACCAGGAAATGGAGAGCTTCACCCTGCAGCTCAGCTCCCTCAGAGCGGCACAGAGTAAACAGTACTGTGGAAGTTGCACCGATGACAAGGAGTTCAATGTTCCTCGCCCAGATGAGGGTTACCAGGGCCCCATCCTGGAGGAAGGTCTGGGGAGGGGTATGTTGGCAAGCGCCTAATGACTTAGTTACATGGGTTTGACTCCATGTGGGCCACCCACCTGCAGGAGGGGCCATTCAGCATGGTGCCACTGGCAGCAGCTGAAGGAGGGGACCTTGGCACTCTGACTCTATCTTATTGAAATCTTTGTGCAGAAATGGTTTTATAGAAACTTCTGCAAATTGGTGGAGAGGTCGAGGTGGCCCAAGGTTAATCTATAGTGGTCAAAGCCATCATTTGCCACCCTCTGGCTCCACCATTGGTCCAAATCACTCTAAAGCTCTATTGTTTCCAATCAGATGAAAGTCAAGCCAAGTGGTCAGCTTCACTGAGCATCCTTCATCTTCAGCCTCATTAGCCAACAGAACATAATCAACAAGTTATTGAAAAACCAAAGTAGCAGAGCTTTATAGTGGACCATTTTCAAACTGTACCTGAGAATATTTGTTTTCAGCGTTCCAGATGTAGGTGCACGAGCCCATGCAATAATTAGCATGGTAGCCTGAGGGCTTATGGATCCACTTCCAGCCCAGATCTTTCCTGAAGTCGATGTACAAGCTCCGCACGCAGCAGGTCTCCGTTTGGCTGCAGAGACAGAGAAACGTCTTTAAGTGTCTGAGACGTTTCTAAAGAACAGGTCTGGGGTCAGCTGATACAAGCCTTGATTTACATCAGCACAGGAACAAAGATCTATGAAGGTCCAAACACTGGCCTGACACAAAACTAATGCAGACCGACCCAAAAGACTCAAACCTGGAGCAGATACGTTTTTACACCTGGAATTCACCCAACGGCCTTTTCACCCATTGACGCAGCAGACGAGGCTGTTTTTGTGAATCAAGCATTTTTTAAAATAAAATGTTGAATATTTGTATTCACAACCCGAAGGCTCAAACTTGAACATTAATTTTAAATTATTTTGTGAACGCTGAGTCAGCAGAAACATTATTCTTTACTCTTGACTATGTTTGCAGTTATTAAATTTATTTGTAATTCATCTACTGATGTTTTAGCTGTTCATGCATCAAAACGTTCAGCTCGTCCTGCAGATGGATGCGGTGACTTTTGGGTTTCTGTAACTTCCAAAGATTATTTTTATTTACCCAAAGTTTCCCTATTAAAAAAAAAACATTAAAAAACTTCTTCAGCTACTGTTTTTGTCTTCTTTTGCTATTGTAAGCTTTTATCTACTGTTCTATTTTTAGCTACCATTCAGCTATTGTTAGATCAAAGATAACCTTCTGCTACTTTTAGCTTTTTTGTGCTATTTTTATCTTCTAAAAAGCCTTTTGATACTTTTAACTTTCATCAATTCTTTGGTTACTATAACTTTTACCTACTTTTAGCTACATTTTGCTAAAACTTTGCTGTTTTAAGATGATGTTTTCCTACTTTTAGCTTAAAGCTAGCCTTTTGTTACCTTTATCTCCTGTTTTACCTTTTCTAGCTTCTTGTTAGCCTTTAGATACATTTACCTTTATCAACTTTTTTGCTACTGCAACTTTAGATACTTTTTTTGTATTTTAGCTTATATTTAGCTTTTTATTTTTTAAGCTTTAGTAACCCATTTGCTACTTTAGTTTTTATTTAGCTTTTAGCTACCTTTGGCTCAGCATTTGTTGAATTAAACTTGTGTTTTGGTACTTACTGTACTTTAGGCACACATTTTGTCATTTGAGCTTCTAATTAGACTTTTGATGCATTTCGCTTTTATCAACTTTTTTGCTACTTTAGCTTTTAGCTACTTTCAGCTGACCTTTTGCTACATTAAGCTAATGTTTTGTGATGTTATGTGGTGTAACGTTAGGCTGCGTTTCATGGGTCGTCTTATTTTGAAAGTCCAGCCTGGTGGAATAAGTCCCTTCAGAGTGACGTGGCGGGTGCAGCGGGCCTTACGCCGTGCAGGTTTCCTGTCCAGCTGTGGAGCGTTTCTTGCGTGAGGTGAGGTGGCTGCTCATGTTCTGAGGGATGGACATGGTCAGGATGTATGGCGGCTGCTCCGTCATGGAGCGCATCATCGCCGTGTCGCCGCGATTGTTGTCCGTCCCGGAGATGGAAAACTGGAAGGTGCTGGTGGGCTGGCCACACTCACAGAACACATGCAGCTGGAAGCTCTGCTCGTCCTCTGCTAAACAAATGTTTGTTGGTTTTGGAAAAACATGTAGAAACGTAAAAGAGGAGGCTTCAAACGAGCGACGCGGAGCGTTGACCTCACCTGCCTGACTGAGCCACTTCTGCAGGGGTTCGGTCACATCGAAGGACAGCCATGTGTCTTTCAGGAGGTTGGTGACGAAGCGGGAGGCGTGGTACCGAGCCGAGCCTCCTGCGCTGTAGTACAGCTCCACGCGCTGCTCCTTGTTGATCCTCGGCTGCTTGATGAGCATGCGCAGCTCTGCGCTCGTGAGCAGGGCCGGGTCCCCCACGCTGCTCCGAATCTCAGAGATGCTGAAGAACATCGTCTTGGAGCTCTCCGTGTGACTCCTGTCTGCGGGGTTTAAAAAGAGATTATTTTAAACGAGCGGAAGGTTAAACTGTTTCAGAGACCTGAGTTGAGTGAGCAATGCTGAGGTTTTCCTCCTCATCATGAGATCACATTGTCTACTTTTAAGATTAGGCTTAAGTCTTTCCTTTTTGATAAATCCTATGGTTAGGGTTGGCTTGTGTATTCAAGAAGTTCTTGGGCACCCAGATAATAAACAATTACAATAGTCAGGCCTAGACGTGATAAATGCGTGGACCAGTTTTTCTGCCGTCACTTTTGGACCAGATGTTTCTAATTTTAGTGATACAGTACAGTATTACTGTAAAGTATTACTGTAAAGTATTACTGTAAAGTATTAGTGTAAAGTGCTTTGAGTATCTCAATAAGATAGAAAGGCGCTATACAAGTACAGTCCATTTACCATTTACCATATTACGCAGGTGGAGGAATGTGGTCCTGGTAACGTTTTTAATGTGGGGGTTAAAAGACACGTCCTGATCAAAAATAACATCAAGCTTTTTAACGTTAGAACTGGAGGCCAAATAAATCTCATCCAGAGAAACTGAAAGACTGAAAAATGTATTCCTAAAATGCTCAGGTCCAAAACCACAACCTCAGTTTTGTCCAAGTTTAAATGCAGAACATTTAGAGTCATCCAGGTTTTTGTCTTTAAGGCATGTTTGTAGTCTAAGTAACTGATTGGATTAATCAGGTTTCACGGACAAATATAACAGAGTATCATCAGCATAACAATGAAAATGTATCCCATACTGTTTAATAACTGTATCTAATGGAAGGATGTATAAGGTAAAGAGTATTGGTCCAAGCACAGAACCCTGAGGGACAACATGAGTAACTTTGGTGTTTGAAGAAGATTTATTATTTACATTTACAAACTGGAATCTATCAGAAATATATGATTTAAACCATTTTAGAGCTGTTCCTGTAATCCCAATATCACATTCAAGCATCTGTAGCAGAATATTTTAGCTTTTAGCTACTGTTTTGACACTAAAAGCTATTGTTTTGCTAATTTTAGCTGGACTGCTTTGTTTAGCTTTTAACGTAATTCTTGTTCTGTTCTCATTCTGCTCTTCCTTTTTGCTCCTCCTTTTTGCTTTTAGCTATTGTTTTAATAATTTTAAATACATTTTTGCTACTATTACCCAGTCTTTGCTACTTTTCACTTATTGACTGACTTTAGCTACTTTCAATGTTTAGCTAACCTTTTGCTACTTTAGCTTTGAGCCAAACGTTTGAGATTTCCAGATGCTAGTTACTGGTTTGTTTGTTTGTTTGTTTTTTGGGCTACTTTTAGCTTTAGCCATCCATTTCCTACTGTTACCTAGTTATTTGCTCCTTTCAGCTAGCCTCTTCCTACCATACGCTAGCCTTTTGCTACTTTCAACATTTAGCTAACTTTTCTCCACTTTTAGCTTAGAGTTATCCTTTTGATACTTTTAGCTTCTAGTGAGCTTTTGCTCTTTTAGCTAGCATTTTGTTAGCTACCCTTTACTCCTGTTAGCTAGCCTATGTGTATATTTTGACAGTATAAATAATCATTAAGTAGACCCATTCCTTTTGTGCTCTCCTCAGTGGTGGGTCCACAGGACCAAAGGAATCAAGAACGTCACAGCTAAAAGTCAAACTTCACACAAACCAACTGTTGGCAGTGGCAGCCATTTTGAAATGGATGGACTCCTCAAACCTAATAGTTGATTTCCAACTATCGAAACAGAAAATTTCATTAAAGTCTGTCCACTGGTTCACGAGATATTTTGCTAACAGACAGATTTGATTCAATAGTTAATGGTAAAGTTTCAAACAGAGACCAGTTAGTACTCAGGGATCAGTCTCAGCTACTATCACATACAATTTTAGCTCATTAGCTGTGACACTGTCTGACTCAAACTCGTACTGCTTTGCTGTGGCGGCCATCTTGAATTCCATTAATTTCAAAAGTCAAGTATTATTAGCTGTCAAACAGTGATTACTCTGAGGCTTTATGGAAATGCAATCATTGATTCTTTGAGATATTTTGCTAACGCTACACAGAGACTCTGGCTAAAACATCGCTCTGCCTCCACCTTCCGCCTTCTGTTGTTTTTAAACTTTATTTTAGAAATTACCCTGCATTTGTACTCGTATTTGAATACTTTAACATGCATTTTCATCACTTCTTTAAAATTTCAGGATGAACATGTTTTTCTAAGAATTCTCCCATCAGTGAAACAGAATAGCTGAGTTCAGAGTGTTACTCAATGATCTCGTCCCGAGCCAAACATTTATCTGTCCCAGCTGCTGTAAAGTTGACCACAGAGAGAGGTTTGTTCTCTCGCAGCGCCGCTGCCCATAAACACGACTGTAATCCCCGAGTTTTCCTACAACATGACAGCAGGAACGTTCTCCCTGCGAAGTCTGAGGAGAAACAGAGCAAAGCTACCGAAGGATTTACCAACATCAGTCCTCCAGTTTATACCAAAAGATAAAGTACGGTTGAGTCATGCACAGATAAGCAGATGATTGAGGGGAAGACGGCGTGCACAGAAACAGAGTTTGAGGCGGGGGAGGGAACGTTGTTAATGTAAAGAAAACAGAACGCACTGAGAGTTGTAAGGGTGTGAGTGGATGTGTGGAGAAACTGGAGATGTGTATCAATGGAGCGCAATGCCTGGCAGAGACTCAAATCCTCCACTCTGCCTGAGCCTGCCGAAGCCAGGATTCTCCGCTCCCCAAGTCCGGGAATTACTTTGACGGGGGCCCAACCCAGCCTTGCATACTTGCGCTGCATACTCGGCCCAGGCCGTACCAGGATGGATTCTCCACGTCACGCCTGCCCGGGTATCATTTACAAGTACCACCGTTGGGGTCAACGACCGAGGCGTCCTTCCAGCCGCTGCAGAGAGGCCAAACTGAAACTGAAAAGAGCTGATGTGCAGCGCAACAGGAAATGAGATTTTGACATTTTGCTGGTCCCACCCAGGGCAGGGTTGAATGTTTGGTTAGGAGCGCAAAAGTGGAAACGCTGAGCATCAAAACACGAACGGGCAGGCGTGAAAAACGAGCAACAGCAGGCACATCAAGCCTTTATCTCTAGCTGGTTTGAGTGAAACAGGAAATTAAGTCAACTTCTCCAAGAAGCATATTGGCTGCAGGACCGTAATTTCACGTTTCATGCTCACGTCTACTTTCTAATTAACACAGCTTGCATTGTCTCACAAAGCCCAGAAATAAAGGTTTGTTTGAATAAAGTGCGTGCTGCATATAAAGCCCCACTCCTCCAGAAATAGCATCCTGGCTGGATGGGTGTGGGGGGGTTGGATTTGTGTCTTCAACCAAGGCCTACTCACAGGTAAGCCGGGGACAGCTGTTGTGACAGGTAAGGAGACAGCTCTGTAATTATCAGTGGGAGGAAATAGATTCCAGCAAAGTCTGCCTCCTTTACACTCGGCCCCACCTTCGCTCATCTCACCTCAACGTACGCAGCTCTCACAAGGTAAAAATAACACGTATTCCAGAGCGGTGGCCTGATTTCCAAAAGCACCGTGGTTGGCGGCCGGTTTCTAAAGGAGAGCCAGCGTCTGCTGTTATCAAACGAGCTAAATGACATGTAGGCCAGCGTTCTGGGAGAGGTGAATTTGTGTGGTCTTTGGGGGAGGGATGTGGCTGAAAACATTTATCCTAATCCACCAGATGATTACCCCGATGGAGACTCAAACTATTAAGTTTGAAAGTACACAAGTGCATCCCTGCGGGCTGGTTTTGGAAGTTTCGGAAAAGTGTGAGTCGTCAAACGAAATGACGGATGAATATTTAATAAACTTGAGAGAATAAAAATTCTATCCTCTGGGTTTTACTGCCTTGTGTTGTTGTTTACTAAAAACATGAGGCTTAACTGACCTTTTACACTTACTAATAGGATTTTGCAATGCATTGTGGTCCAGATATTCTCATGCGTACTTCAGTTCTTTGACATTGAACGGACTCATATGTGTTGTTTGTGTTTATTTGTCCCCATCGCTGACTCTGGTCTCCTTATCACATAAAAAGTGTTGGAAATTATTCTCAAGGTTCGTGTTTTGTCTTTGCATTTACTTTTATAAAACAGGTGTAAAGGATCAAAACACGAGGTAAACGTTGACCGTGAATACTGGAAGCGGCGATAAACGCACCTGTGTGCAACGATATCTGTACAAAGGTCAACAAAGGCGTTCCTTAAGGGAATGCATATCGCCCATCGCCTTCACGCCAAGCTTATTTCAAGATGGCCGCCACAGTCACAGCCCACAAGATGCGTTACTCTCAGCTACTACCGCAGAAACGCCACCATACTTGTAGCTTTGCGTGAGTACCCGGCATTGATGTGTATGACGGTGAATTAGCTGTGGCAGTCATCTTTGACTGTTTTGACTCCAAATGTAGATCCATGGTAAATATACAATATACATGGAGTGATAAGTTTCTGAAATGTTCATTAAAATCCAATCAATGGTTCTGGATTTAACTTTCAAACAGGATTGACTCTAATCGTTGACGGCAACGTTTTCAGCAAATGTTGCAGTTCATAATGCGCTGAGTTAGGGATGCATTTGTGAGTACAAGTACTTACATTTAAGTACTTTGTACAGAAAACCAATACAAGTATACTGATCAGTGGTGTACACAACAGTTAAATAAACCATATACTAACATTAGTTTTATATTTAGTTTGTTTTTTTCATACAGGGTCTGCATTTATAGCACAAACTAAATATAAAAAAATATATTAATAATGTGTTATGTGTTGTCATTGTATGTTTCCATACAATGGCGAAATTGGCTCTCTGCATTTAACCCATCCACCACCAGGTGGAGCAGTGGGCAGCTATTGAAAGCATCCGGGGAACAATTTGGGGATAGGGTGTCCTGCTCAGACACACCACGAGATGTGCAATGACTGGAGATCAAACCCTGCCTCTACACCATCTTTATCTCTTTGTTGCCAATGTATCTGAGTTTGTGTTGGGAACGACTCTCAGCAACTACCATGATGAATTTTAGATCAGTATCTCTAAAATGGATGGAGCCATTTTGTTTTGTAATGTCTGTTGGGAGCCATCTTGAATTAGCATGATTAAAGTTTAATCAGCTGTAGATATGCATCCAAAGATCACTTCCTGAGTGTTTAGTTCAAGTCTGTCCGTTGGTTCGTGAGACGTTTTGTGGTAAAATGGCGATACGTGTTGTGAAACAGCTTACGATAGGTGTATAAATATATTCTTTCGGCATGCAGAGGTTGCCTCTGTTTTTAGAACTGGACTGAGATAGTGGAGGGGTGTTCTCTGGCATTCCATGGAGCTCGGAAACACATGCTCCCCACGGGCACCGCTTAAACCGGACCTGAGTCACTCAACATCTCTGCGGCCATCAGCCGGCCTTCCTTCCTGCCAAGCTGCCCCGTCACAAACATGCTGCAAACACACTGATAATCAGCTCAGGAAGACGACTCAGAGGCTGGAGAGGGCCCGAACAAGAAACGGAGAATAGTTCATCGTTTTCAACGAGCTGGAAGAATCAAGAGGAAAAAGCTCAAGAAAAGAAAAAATAAAAGATGGAGAGGAGAGTAGGGGAGAACCCAGTATCTGGAGTTACAGAAAGGAAAATCCCATAGGAAGCAAATAAACAGAACCAAAAGAAAGGGAGCAAAGTTTCAGAGAATCCTCTTCATATTTTACTTCTTCTTTGTTGCCCTGCTCTTTCTTCAGTTTAAACGTTGCTTTGTTCAGTTTTTGGTCCATCCACCTCAAGCCTCTTTGATGTGGAGGAGAAAAGATGTACAGTAGTCCCTCACTACTTTGTGGTTCGTTTATCACGGACTCAAACTATCGCGGATTTTCAAAATAAAATTGAACATGACACACAATTAGCTGATTGATGGATGAGACACAAGATCAGCATGGAATTTTTATTTAAAATAAATTATTTTAAATTATTTAGCACCTCCTGCACCTTTGTGCAGCCCATACTGCAGGATAAGCTAGTACAAGTAGTAAGTAGTAGTTTATTGTAGCATTTATATATAGATATTAAGGAGTTTTAAACCCTTCCCACACTCTTGCAATATTCTAAACAATGTTTCTAAACTCTAAATGCTATAAAAGACAAAGAAGGTCATAATTTCTCTCTCTGTTTCTCCGCTGCTCTCAGCCACCTGCAAGTGCTCTTGGCCACGCCCACTTCTCTGCGCTGCATGGTGAACAGCTGATCAGCTGCAGCAGGAAGTTTATCCTGCAGTAAGGGCTGCACAAAGGTACAGCAGGTGCTAAATAATTTAAAATAATTCATTTTAAATAAAAATTCCGTGCCAATCGTTCGGCTCATCCATCAATCAGCCAATTGTGTGTCATGTCCAATCTTATTTTGAAAAACTGCGATAGAGGGAATTTGCGATAGAGAGAATTTGCGATAAACGAACCACGAACTGGAGAGGGACTACTGTATATACTAAAATAAACTACTACTTGCACTACCATTCCTACTTTGTGGTTTTTCACTTATTGCGGGGCTTCAGGGTACGGATCCCCCGCGATAAACGAGGGACTGCTGTGTTCCTGCCCCATGAGCTGAGGAGTACAACTAGAGAATAATGGTGCACAGAAAATAAGAAAATATGTTTTATATAAACGTCATTGCTAAGTTCCAGGCAAACAAAACATTTGACTGAGCAAACGGCATATGGTGCGAGTAAAATGAGCTAATAAAGCCATTAAAACGTTGTGCTTCGCATCAGATGGTGCAGTCCCATTAAGTTGTAACTCCTGTGATCTCTGAACTCTCAAAGATGTCTGAAGATGTTGAATGTAGATCTGAAGATGGAACACGTGTTGAAGGAATTTATGGATGGCTTTAGCTTTGGGGCAAAGCCTGATTAATAGCAGTGGTAGCTGCCAAGTTCGTCCGTCACAGTGAACGCTTTTAGGACTTACTTAGGCAAAAACATGTTACTGTTGAAGATTTCTGGGTTTTATACTTGGTCCAAAGTGCAACATGTGCAGAATAAATCTTTTTTCAGCTTGGCTCCAGTATTTTAGCCTCTCTGTGTTTGAGTGTTGAGCAACAAGTGCCTGAAAATGCAGGAGCATAAATCACAGTCATACAATTATGTGACTTTCTTACAGCTATCGTTGGGCCATCTGTAATTATCCTCATTTGTGAAAATGAGCGAGGGTGCACCAGAGCTCATGATTTACACGCTCTTCCTCTCAATTGTTTGTACTTACTGGTCATGTTGAACTTGTTTAGAACCTTGGCAAAGTACTCCTCCTCCTCCTGTTCTGGGGAGACGGTGCTCTGGACTTCAATCTGCTGCTCCTCCAGCATGTCCTTCGTGCTGTTGTAGAGCGATATCAGCGTGGTGGGGATCTCCTCTTTGTCTCCAGCCTCATCCACGTCAGGTGCTTTCGGCAGGCGCAGTTTGCTGAGAATCTGGCTCCTAATCGCCTCAATACGCTTTTGCCGTACTATCTCCAAGTCCACGGTCTTACAAGTGGACATGCCACTCACACTGTCCAGCATGTGCGCAGCCACCAACAGCAGAAACCCAAACCTCATCATGACAGCTTTACTGCTGAACCACTTCTGATCCTTAGTGAGTTCTCGCTCACCTTTTCTTTCACTGCCTGCCTCCAGTCGTGGATGCTTAGGTAGCCAGTGAATCACTGAGTGGAGAGGTGTGACTGACGCAGGGTGTTTACACAAAACGCAACAATTACAGCAGTGTGGAGAGTCCAGAAAATTCACAACAACTGGTGCGAAACTCCCTAACGCTCGTCTTCTTTGCATAGAAGCAGGCAGACAACCACCCCCATCACATGTACACCCAAAACAGCCAAAACTCTGAAGCGAGTCCAGAACAAAGTTGCCAAACTCTTAAAAAGAAGCCCATAAGCCCAGAGCTAATTCAGCACCCACCAATCCAAAATGGTTTTACAGCATTCAGACAGTCAACCGTCCTTGTTGGTGGGACTGTGAAGCCTCCACCTGCAGTTTTTAAGTGATCCTTCCTTGGAGCAAGTTTATACTCCTCCACGTGTCCGCTCAGTACTGTATCAGCGAGCAGTCTCTCATTACACGTCCCCTGAGGCCAGCTGAGCAAACGTGAACAGAGCTGGAGTCCAATCAGCACAATGATAACTGGTGTTGGCAGAACCCAACTTACTTACTTTCTACGCCTAAGGCTCTTCAACCTGTCACTGCTTCCTGTCCCGGTTGACCCATAAGTCCCTTCGTAAATCATTCAGAACTATTCCAAACAGGTTGAGGTCAAGTACGCCTGGTTGGTTGTAAAGATAGGTGGTGAAGGGAAGGCAAATCAAAAGCATGAACTAGGACGATATATCTATACTGCTTCAGCGCTCTTCACAACCCAACGTACAAGCATGTGACAAACATGTACTGCCCTCAGCCGTGACTACCTCTTTTTACAGATAACATGTGATCTCTTTCAACGCCTGCAGCTCACGCCACCAGCCGCCTCTCTACCTTCTCTTTCCTCGTTCTCAAACATTGTAATGCACAAGCACAATCTCTTGGTGTACCAAGACGTTGATAAAAGCAGTGCAACAAGCTTGATATCTGAAGTTTAAAGTGTCAGGCTCAAGGGAACGCTGTCCTTGTTGTGGAGAAGTTTTGCAGAAGTCAGACACACCTCTTTACATGAGAGTACCATCCAGACACAGCAGCAGTAGCAGGAGTTTGTCCTCTTTGTCCTCTATCCATCCATGGGGATCACCTCCTTCACGCCTTCTCTGTAATCTCCACTGACACAGCTCCCTACCTACAGCCTCTTTCTGCTGTTTTGCTTTCCCCTGCTGCCTGTCAGAGCTTGCTGTTCACAGAGTGATTTGTGGGAGCTCTGAGCTCAGATAACTTGCACACCCTCTCTCTCACCCCCTCCGACTCTGTTCTTTTCTTCTTGTTCCTGTTCGTCGTCTAATAGAGCGAGAAGCTCTCCGCCCAGGAAATGAAGCTAACTGCCACAGAGTTCAACATCTGCTGCCAGGAGCTGAACACGAGCTGTCTTTACCTGGACCGTGTTTGTCTGCAGAGACAGCGTTGACCCTCAACAAGCCTTGCATAGCACAAGAGTCTTACCAGCCGACTGCTACTTTCACCTGGCGGCTGTGAAGGTGTTCGCCCACCAGACCAGGGCAGGATGCCACTTGAGACAAGACAGGCTAAAAATAGAGCTGTGAATTTCATGGGATGGAGATCCAGCAGGGCAGGGCGGTGTGGTGCACTGTCCCGTGTCTGGGTGCCTTTTAGAGGTTGGATTGTGTATTTTCAGAAAAGGAGACGAGACTAAAATAAACCGGTGAAGGTTTCAGTCATTACAACTCTGTCTAAAGGAAAAATCAACAGGGAAGTAGTGATAGGAAACTACCAAGGCAGAGTTTGGGTTTGTTTTCCTCCTCAAAATGCCTTTCTAACGGCTGTCTATTGTTACTGTTAAAGAATAAGCTATTCAAATAGTTCCACGTAACATAAGGAAAACAAAAGCTCAAAAGTCCCCAGAAGGGCCAACAGACATCAGTCATTGTTCTAGGTAACCCTAAGTAAACCTCAGTCTACAAATATAAGTCACAGTCTCTTAATCACTGATGGCTTTTATTGATAAGATGATAACAAGGAAGCTGCTTCAAAATGTGAACAGCTATGATCCGAAATGATCTGATGAGTTCTGATGGACACACACTGCCCTCTGGTGGGGTAGAGGTGGAGTTTTACAAAATTTAGAAAAAAAGATAGACATGACACATCCATCCATCCATCCTCTTTACCCATTTTTTCCTTTCCGGGTCACGGGGTTCACTGGTGCCCATATCCAGCGGTCACTGTGCGAGAGGTGAGGGACAGCGGGACAGATCTCCAGTCCATCACAGGAACACCTGGACAGATCTCCAGTTCATCACAGGGACACCCTGGACATGTCTCCAGTCCATCACAGAAACACCTGGACAGGTCTCCAGTCCATCACAGGGACACCTGGACAGGTCTCCAGTCCATCACAGGTACACTTGGACAAGTCTCCAGTCCATCACATGGATACCCTGGACAGGTCTCAAGTCCATCCCAGGGACACATAGAGACAAACAACCATTCACTTGCTCTCTTTCACCTAGAGACAATTTAGAGTTACTAATCAGCCTAACATGCATGTTTTTGGTTTGTGGGAGGAAACCGGAGTCTGGAGAGAACATGCAAACTCCCCCGGCGACTTGCTCACCGAGTGGTAACAGCTCTACCAACTGCGCCACCGTGCCGCCCTCATGACACATCATAAAACAAAAACAGTAAAGATTAAATGGCTCACGCTAAACAAAAAAAAATATAAAATTTAAATTTTCTGCAAAGATTAGGTGTGAATGCCGAGGGCTGAAAGACTGCTGAAGAAGCCAAAACTGAGTCCTTAAAGCTAAAAGAAGCCAAAAATAAAGCATCTCATAAGCAAATTTCTAAGTTTTTGAAGCATTTGGAGAGAGCTCAATGACTTTCTATGGGGAAAAGGTTTCTAAATAAAGGTAAATATTTTCAAAAGCACAAAAGTTACAAAAACCAGAAGTCCCATCTCCTGAAAGAGCTAAGTATTCTGATGATCAGCTGAAATAGCACAAAGTATGTAGAATGTCATAGCAAAACATTTATAAAAGAAAAGACATTTACACAATTAAAAACTATAAGATCAGATGATTAAAAAAAATATTTCCCATTTATTGGTTATTATTTAGTCATGACTTTAATGAAATCAGAAGATGTTTTAATTTAAATTTGAGGTGTACTCTAAAAAGTCTGAGGGGTTTTAACTGAGTGTAAATTAAACGTAAACTATGAAAGACTTGTTTAAGGCACTCATAAGAAGCTGTGTTACGTTTTGCTATAGCAACACAACATGTCTCTGTACAACCAACCTGCCTGACCAAAGTGCCGTGGGGCATTTGGTACCCTTCATCACAAAGCCTTCATGCCAGAACCTCAAGGTGTCTGGGTGTGTCTGAGCACAAGACTGCACCAGACTCTTTCCCATCATTCAGTCAAGTTGCAGCAAACAGTGAAGTCTTTGAACGAGGACGCGGCAGAAGGCGTTCACAGTCAACACAGAGATCAGATGGTCTATAAATCACGTAACCACATTATTTGCCTTTCAGACAAGTGGGAGAGTGACACGATACTGGAACTCTTTACAAATGTGTCTTTAGTGGGAAAAAATGTTAAGTTTGTATCAACGAGGCTATTCTTCATTACTTTTTGCGCTTTATGGCAAAACAGATTTCAGTTTGGAGGTATTTATTCATGTAATGAATCCACTTCACCATATCTTCCTCTTGTTCTGGGCTCAGGTCTCAGGGGCAGCAGCTTGAGCAGGGAGGTCCAGACATTTGTTCCACGGGCACCTCTTCCAGCCCTGCCAGGAGGATTCCAAGGTGTTCCCAGGCCAGCCGAGAGATAGACTCTCCAGCGTGTCCTGGGTCTTCCCCAGGGTCTCCTCCCAATAAGACGTGCCCGGAAAACCTCCAGGGGGCATTCTTATCAGGTGCCCAAAACACCTCAACTGATTCCTCTTGTCCTGTCCTCTGTGAATCACTACCTTATTGTGGTGGAGGGTGTGTGCTTGAATGGTCTTAGGAGCTACTGTATACTTCTTCTTCTTATTATTCTTTTGGCGTTTCCCTCTTCAGGGGTCACCACAGCGAGTCATCCTTCTCCATCTCATTCTGTCCTCTGCATCCTCTGTCCTCACTCCAACTACCTCCATGTCCTCTCTAACTGCATCCATATATCTCCTCTGTCTTTTTCCTGGCAGCTGCATCTAACATATTTCTACCAATATATCCACTGTCCTTCCTCTGGACATGTCCAAACCATCTCAGTTTGGCCTCTCTAACTTTATCTCCCTTTTCCTTTGACATTTGCCGCTATCCCTTTGTCACAAATCACTCCTGAAACTTTTCTCCATTCACTCCACCTGCCTGGACTCTCTTTTTCACCTCTTTACCACACTCCCCATGTTCCTGGACAGTGGACCCCAAGTCCTGCACCTTTGTGACCTCTGCTCCTTGTAGCCTCACTGTTCCACCTCCTCCCTCTCATTCACACACATGTACTCTGTCTTACTACGGCTGACTTTCATTCTTCTTCTTTCAAGTGCATACCTCCACCTCTCCAAGTTCTCTTCCACCAGATTCCTGTTCTCACCACAGATCACGATGTCATCTGCAAACATCATAGTCCATGGGGATTCCTGCCTGACCTCATCTGTTAGTCGGTCCATCACCAGAGCAAACAAGAAGGGGCTCAGAGCCGATCATTGACACAATCCCACCTCCACCTTGACCTATCACTCCTATACCACATCTCACCACTGTCCTGCTGTCCTCATACATGTCCTGTACCAGTCTAACATACTTCTCTGCCACTGTTTTGAGCAACTGCACTTGGTAGGGTGTCCCAAGGCAGATTGGTGATATGTATTGACAAAGCGTGATTCAGAATACATGTAATGAAGTCCCTGCCCAGACATGGGTTACTAGGTCCCCACCATGGGGTTATGTCTAAGGTAGTGGCTCATTGAACCCATGGGGCCCAGTCAGGCTCAGCCTAAATGAGTCACATGGGTTTACCTTCCTGTGAGCCTATACACCTGTAGGAGGGGCCATATGGGTCAGATGCATGGTGCCATGGGTGGTAGCCAAAGTTGGGTGCCTATGACTCTGGCTTACCCAAGCAAAGCAGGCCCTTGAGACATGGAATGCAATAAATGAAAATATATTAATCTTAAGTTATGTGAGGGACTGGTGGCACAGAAGTTAGAGAAGGTGGGCCTGTGATTGGAAGGTCGCCGGTTCGACTTCTCGCACTGACAACATCAAAATGTGGGTGGGTTAGGTGAAGCAACCACACCTGTCTTCATCCTCATTTGCCCCACTCTGGGCTCTTGAACAATGCCCTTAACCTCCACCACCTGACAGTTTTGGAGAAATAACATAAACATACTTACTTTTGCATGTTAAAACCAGAAGTTTTCTATTGCAGTATTTTACTAACAAAAGAGAGACTTCATAACAATAATGTTTTTTTGTACTCGAGACTAAGTAGCAAATGAGCCTATGAGCAAATCTTTTATTTTGATTGTATTTAATAGAATTTGATTGATTATTATGTACACTTGGATCCGTCTTAATATTTTTATATTAATTGAAGATCAGTTCCTCCAAATCCGAGGCCATGGTCTTGAGCCGGAAAAGGGTAGAGTGCCCTCTCCGGGTCAGGGAGGAGGTCCTACCCCAAGTGGAGGAGTTCAAGTATCTTGGGGTCTTGTTCACGAATGAGGGAAAAATGGAGCGTGAGATCGATAGGCGGATAGGTGCAGCATCTGCAGTGAAGCGGGCGCTGTACAGGTCTGTCGTGGTGAAGAGAGAACTGAGTCAAAAGGCGAAGCTCTCAATTTACCGATGGATCTACGTTCCCACCCTCATCTATGGTCACGAGCTTTGGGTTGTGACCGAAAGAATTAGATCTCGGATACAAGCGGCCGAAATGAGTTTTCTCCGCAGGGTGTCTGGGCTCTCCCTTAGAGATAGGGTGAGAAGCTCAGTCATCCGGGAGGGACTCAGAGTAGAGCCGCTGCTTCTCCACGTCGAGAGGAGCCAGTTGAGGTGGCTTGGGCATCTGGTTAGGATGCCTCCTGGGCGCCTCCCTGGTGAGGTGTTCCGGACACGTCCCAATGGAAGGAGGCCCAGAGGAAGACCCAGGACACGCTGGAGGGACTATGTTTCTCGGCTGGCCTGGGAACGCCTCGGGATTCCCTCGGAGCAGCTGGCCCAAGTGGCTGGGGAGAGGGAAGTCTGGGCCTCCCTACTTAGGCTGCTACCCCCGCGACCCGACCCCGGATAAGCGGAAGAAAATGGATGGATGGATAATTAAACTCAAACACTTTTAAAATTTACTTTCTGTAACTTAATTTTCATATAAAACAAAACCACAACGAACGACTTTAAAATGAACAAATGCTGCTGACACAACAATAACATTTAGTTAGAGAAGCAGTCTATTCTTAAACCACGGGTTGCCCAAAAGTTTCTTACAGTAAATGAGTTCAAGAGTCCAAGTTAGGCTAACTGCAATACATGTAAAGTAAGTCAACGCGAAAATGCTGCCAAAATGTATAAATGCTGAAAAAAATCTCTGCAGTTTGATAAATAATCCTGTGACTAAATCAATTTTTAAGAAAAGTTATTTTTAACCACTAAGCTTCAGTGACCGTTGGCTGAATATGTGAACATACAGTAAGTTGTTACAGTAAAAACATAAAATCTGCAGTTTTTAATTGTTTTAAAGATTCAAGAATATTTTTTAAATAGTGCAATTAATTAAAAAAATATATAAAAACTGTTAAAAATAACGCTTTGTTTGTAATGTCTACCTAATTAATAAAACCGTCCGTCCCAGCGGTTACAACATATCGTCACAGTAAACGTGATGAAATTAGCTAATTTCAGCACAGTTGCTAAAGCTCAATAAATAAACACAATAAATGCATAAACTCACCTTGTTTTTGACTGTTTGACTTTTATGTCTGTTTAAGGGATTTTAATACATAAAAAAGCCGTTTACAAATGTAGTTTTTGGTCGCTAGCTAAAACTGCTAGTTAGCCATCCGTCTCCATGGTTACAACGACTGTGTACTCACGTACGTCTTTTATCTGACGTAAACAGTTTCGTGAATTGGCATCTATTTTACGTTCTCTGCCCTTTTTTTCCAAGCGGCAAATGAATAGTTCTTATCGACTCATCACTTGGAGTCACATAAACAGCGGGGCCGTTGTTTTTTGTAGGTAAGTGCTTTTTGTTTTTAGAGTTAGAGGACTGTACGCACCTCGAAGGGTTTCCACGCACCGGGCGAGCAGACCTGCAGTGAAACTGGATCCATAGATGGACTCTGTGGATCCGCTCCGGTCTGGAAGTGGTTTTCTGAAGGTGAGTGGGTGAGACTGTAAATTAATTCATGACACTAAAATCTCCAGTGGGATTTGTAAGTGCTCATCTTGGAACACTTCTCTTTCAAAATAAATCATCACTGTGAAATTAAAGCCAGAGTTTGTTTGTGTGAGTGTTATTTTTTTAGTAAATGTCTCATTTGACTTTTCCCCCCATCACAGATAACAGCTTGAACCTGACCCATGGAGAAATATGACAAACTGGCCAAGATTGGAGAGGGTTCCTATGGTGTGGTGTTCAAATGCAGGCACAGGGACACGGGTCAGGTCGTGGCCATCAAGAAGTTTGTGGAGTCTGAGGACGATCCGATCATTAAGAAGATTGCACAGAGGGAAATACGCATGCTGAAGGTGAGAAGTCTTCAATCAACCTTTATTTATACAGGTAAATCCCATTGAGCCTCGAGGACTCATTTACAAGAGAGACCTGACAAACTGCGCCATGCAGAGCATGCGTTGATTCAGATGTTTATGACAGGAGCTCATATAAAGATCAAGATCCAAACCAATATCTCGATATGCAGACAGCAGGTCAGAGTGGAGGTAAAAACCTCATGTGGGTCCACCCCTCCTTTGGAGAGAGAGAGGACTGTCCGTGACCCCCCAGCCCTGGGCCACAAAACCAAATATTAACAGTGTGAAATACTAAAACCTTTAAAATCTCGTTGCTTTGACTGAAATAGTCGTTCAAGGTCAGTCTGGCAAATAAAAATGTTATTTGAACTTATTTCATACTGTGCAAAGGACTACCTGCGCTATAACTTTTAAAAAATATCAACTTTTGAATATATAAAGTTATATAAACGTGAGTCGTTATATTAGAACATGACTGACTTTGATCTGACTACAGGTGGTTGGACTGCATGATTAGTAGTAAAAAATCAACAGAATCAACAAAAAGCGTGAATTATTCTTCACATTTGATCAGTTAAGCATCACATTTATCACAGGTCAGTTACATCCTGTTATGGTTCTAAATGTAAACCGGCTTAGCACGTTCAAATCGCAGAAACTTTATTTTACTATGATCTCGTGAAATAATGAAATCTACAGTTGTGAAAAATTACAAACTTGTGCAACGGGAACGGTTTCCCAGAGAGAACATCGTGAGTTTTGAAGGAAAAAAATAAGTGAAACGAAGACACACTTTTGCTACAATCTTGGGCATATGAGTCAGAATCAGAATAAACTTTATTATCATTGCACCGAGATACAACGCGAACATCTTTGTTTTTTTCAAAACATGCCAGGAGGAGTTAAGTCCGCAGTCAAGGCCACAGTTTGGGCCAGGCAGAACTCGTGAATTGTTGTTTCTGCCTTTTTAAAGTCTCGCTGTTCTATATTCCTCTGATGGAAACTCCAAACAGCCGAATTGATCCTTTAAAGTCGAGCTCACAGCTTCTCCAAGATTATTCCCACCTTCATGTGCTGCTAGAGAGTCCACAGTCCTGATCACAGCTGTTCCATCCAGCTCTCTGACGCAGCTCCACATAATTCAGTCTGAGTGCTGCCGAGCTTCAAACACATCCACACAAATTTGTAGACAATCCAGACTTCACCAACCCAAACAGCAAAATAACCAGTTGTCACCATGAATCCAATTTGTTTCCATCGAGGTAAGAGGGTCCTCCTGACCCTGACTCCTGTCGGGAGAAGTTGATCAATTTTGTTGAGAGACCAGCTGATCCTTCCAATTAGGAAGGTATGCAGGAAACAAAAGAGGCTCTTTAAGGGTTCATAGGATGAAAGAGTGCAGGGGGGGGGTACCACAAGACACATCTGACTTCACCGGAGTACAGAGAGAAAAAAATAAAAAATAAGTCTTTAAGAGTTTGTTTTGTTTGACTCCAGGAAGTAAAGCAGCAGAGACAGACTCAAACAGGCTGTGCACTCCCGCAGCGCCGAACACTTTTTGATACGACACCTGTCCTGCAGCAAAGTGAGCTCACCTCAGCTGGGTTGACCTGAAGCTTTACCTCGTTAATTAGCTGTCTTCCTTGTACCTTTTTTTTAAAGATGCTGGTTCTTGCCTGCTAAATCCCCCACCCCCAAACATGGTTCGGCATGTCTGAAGAATCATGTCAAATTTAAGTTTTGACAAGAGACTTCTCAATTTGAGGTGTTCCTGTTCCAGTCGTGGTCCTCGAGGCCTTGAGCAGAGGTTTCTCTGCTCCAGCACACCTGATTTGAATCATTGATTCACAGGTTTCTGCAGAACATAGAGAAGCGATTCATTCATTCAACCTTTATTTTACAGGTTAGTCTCATTGAGCCACGAGGACTCGTTTACAAGAGGGACCTGTTTTACACAGACAACACATAAAGTACAGACAACAATAACCTACAATAAAAATGCAATTAAAAGTAGTGCTGTAACTTCTGCCTTAACTTTGACATCACTCTCACTCCGTCCCCACTCATTCCTAATCTTGGCAGATAACTCAGACGGCATTCTTCCATCTCAAAAACGCCGCACGACTCCGCCCCATCACTCACTTTCTCCGCTGCTGAAGTCCTAATCCACGCTTTTGTCACATCCAGAATTGACTATTGCAACAGCATTTTGTACGGTACACCATCAAAGACTCAACAAACTGCAATATATTCAAATCTCTGCTGCCCGCCTTCTCTCCCCACCTGCTCCTGTGAACATGTCCCCCCTGTCCTGCAGGCAGGGCTCCCCGTCACTCAGCGCATCCATGTCAGGATCCTCCTCATCACATTCAAAGCCCTCCATACCTGACCCACCTCCATCACCACTGCAGGAGCCCAAACTAAACCTTCTGTCTCTCCCCTGTAGGACCAAGCTCCGAACCTGGGAAGATGGAGCCGTCTCCAGAATCTTTAAAACTCTGTTTTATTTTGGGGTTTTTTACAGCAACTGAAACATGTGAACTTGGTCAACCTGCTGGAGGTCTTCAGGAGGAAAAGACGGCTTCACCTGGTGTTCGAGTTCTGCGAACAGACGGTCCTCAACGAGCTGGACAAGCACCCCCGCGGGTACGTCTGAGCAGCTCGGTGCCAACAAATTGATTAATTAGTCAAATATACCCAGATAAATACTGGAAGAATCCAAGCTTAAATCCTAATCAATTTATTTTCTAAATTATGAGTTTGCTTTTGTTATAATCCAGAAATATAGTTAAAGCAGGGTTGCACAATGTATCACAAATTTACATCATTGTAATGTCAGAAATATATCACAATATATCACAAAGGCTGCAATAAATCAGGCTGTTTTATTTCAGAACCAGTCCAATGTTCTGTTGCTAGTAAAATATTTGGTCATTTCTCTCTCTGGCCTCGACGCCCTCACCTGGTTTACAAGATGTTTCTGACACACAAGAAAGCCATGTATGAGAAAAATCTAGCTTTATTGTGATAGATGTCGTGATCGTAAAAATAAACAATATCATCGCACATCACAAGTTCTGCTTGCGACCCGTCCAGGGTGTCCCCCGCCCCTCGCACAGTGATTGCTGGACATGGGCACCAGCGACCCCCGTGACCCAAAATGGAAGAAGCGGGTAAAGAAAATGGATGGATGGATATATATATATATATATATATATATGTACACACACTATGACTACTTCCTGTCTGAGCGATTTTATTTTTCCCACAATGCCGTGCAGCAGAAACTCTAACTGCTTTGGAAACAAAGGAGCTTCTGCCGGTGCCGCCTAAGGTTACCTCGGTGCCACAAAGATGCATAAAACGCCTCCTCTTTGCTCCAGAAGCTTGAAAATACTGCAGGAGAAATGTTCTGGTTCCTGGTCCAACAGTCGGTGTTTCTCTGTGCAGGGTACCTGAGGCTCAGCTGAAAAGCATCGTGTGGCAGACTCTGCAGGCTGTGAACTTCTGCCACAAGCACAACGTCAGTAAAGGTTTTATACAAACATTTGTTTGAAGGATATTATTATTATCTGCTGCTGAAGGTGAAGACGGGCAATAATGTTTTTACCTGTGTGTGTATTTCTGTCTGTCTGTTACCAAATTCTCTCATGAACCACTGGACAATTTTTATCAAAACTTGTAGAAAATCATCATTAGACGCATGTCTCCTAACGTCTGAATCCACTTTTTGTTCAGGTCACTGAGTGTATTTGATGAATCTACTGTTAAACTCTTGTTTTTGTTTTGTTGTCAAGTGGGAATACTGTCCACATGTCTTGTCATATGACTGCATCTCCACGTAAGAAAGGTTCCTAGCTTGACACGTCAAAATCAAAGATGGCCACCATCATATACATATATATAAGCTGCACCCAGTAAATAAAAATAATAATAATAACAGTTTTGCACATATATAGGCTGCGTTTGTCTATAAGTTGCGGGTGTCCACGTTGTAACATGAGATATTTACACAGAATTTTTAAAATCTTTTTATTAAATATATACCAGTAACTTGCACAGAAAGTGACAGTAAATCCAACAATGTTCAGTCAGCTCATCTGGACAGTTTCTTTTTTGGTGCTGAGATGTTTCGACCTCCATCCAGAAGGCTTCATCAGTCTGTGGAAACTGCTTCTCCCCCAACAGCTTACTCCAAAGTGGGGAAACAACAGTTGTGCTGATGCTAAGATGGCCCCTGGGGCGCGCCCTCTCCCTCGTGGACAGTCAGGACAGGAGGGCGAAACGTCTCGGCACAAAATAAACAGTAAATGTTTTTTTCTGAACAGTGCCTGTAACACGGCTGGTTATAAAATAAATCCATAAATTAGTCTCAGCATTGTAGAAGCCGCGGGGCTTATATAACGCTGCAGCTAATTTATGGATCGATTTATTTTTTGACGAGCTTCATGTCGCCAAAACATTAATCCTCGTTCAAAGCGTGTGAAAAAAGTAGCAGCTTATAGACCGGAATATTTTCCTCAAGTGGTTGGGGTGGCTGAAGTGCTATGGGGGCCAAGGCCACCATGGGCCCCCCCGGCTCCTTCACTGCACCTGGTGTTGGATAAAATGTCTCCTTCCTCTCTCCAGGATCTGCTCTGCCTCAGAACAATTGAATATCTTCCACCAAAAACATTTAGGTTTACGTCATTCACTGTTCAGTTCCTGTCCAGAAAAACACTCATCTCCAAAAGGACAAACATTCACTGTTCACGTGCCTCAGCGACGGGGGGCATGGGAGTGTTTAGTTTAGTTTACAGCAGCTGAAAGGTTTGAACAAAGACTAGATGAAGGTTGAATCCAGTCTGGTGACAAGTAAAGAGGCGTCTAAATCTACAGACAGACCGGGTTTTATTGGAGCTTGTTTGAGTTCCTCGTGTTTATTTTAAAAAGTCAGAAAACAGAAAGCAAAGCGTGTGAATATTGTTTTAAAAAATGTGATTAAATTCAGGTTGTAAGGCAACAAACAAATTCCAGCAGGGATGAATATAAGCTGCTGTACGGCTCTTCATGATTTATTATTTTGTTCTTGCGGCTGTTTTGCTGTGAGTCTGCTCGGAGCCTCAGAGCTTATTTATATTTGATGAGTTTGTTTTTGTTGATGACATAAATAGTTTGTTCAGTTCTACGGTACGGCTGAAGCCGCCCACGAAGTGTCTGCAGAGGGAGTGGGTTGTGTTACTATAAAAACACAAAGTGAAGGAATCTGAAGACGCAGAGCAGAACTCATTTTCTTGATGTTTGTTTGGTTTCTCTCATCTTTTTACGCACGCTTCGCTACGTTGCCAAAGCCCTGATCCTGACTGTTTGTGTCTTCAGTGCATCCACCGGGACGTAAAGCCAGAGAACATCCTCCTCACCAAGACCGGCGTCATCAAGCTGTGTGACTTCGGCTTCGCCCGCATCCTGAGTAGGTCCATCAGAGCGCCGCTGCGTTCAGGGCCCAAGCTGCTCCGATGACCTGCAGCCTCCTCTCTTTCATCGTGTCGCTTTGCACAAAAGGGCCGTTCTGTCAGTCTGTGTCCCCGAGTGGACCGGCTCTCTTTACCCCCACCGCGCATCGGGTTTCGGTGTTACGTTACCATACGTTCACGTTAACATCCAGCATGCCTTGTAATCCTTTACGTTATTTAGTGTTCGTTAGTTTATTTATACGGCGCCGTCTCTGGGCGAAACCCAACATTTAAGGAGGACACTTCTTCACTTTGTCACAGTGTTCCATCCCGGGGAGCGTGTTGGTGACGGAAAGGAACCTCTAACGGAGTTAAAGCCTAATATTCCTGGAGGAATGCATATCGCCCGCCTCGTCGTGCAGATTTTTAAACTGAGATTATCTTGGGTTAAAAAAAATGATGTGATTACAGCAGTTTTGGCTAAACCTTGAAAATGACATTACCGTATTTTCTGCCGTACACGTCGCATCAGTCCAGATGTGTCTAATAAAGTGGGGAAAAACAGAAATACGTCGCATCTATTCGGTGTCACCACTGTCAACCCGGAAATGTGGGCCGGTGTTGTGCCAAAAATCGATTAGCTGCTAAATGATGGCCGCGGTAGCGTTCACGGGAGGACTTGCTGTGCATTTCTTTGAAATTTAACAAGATAAACACCTAAAAACAATTGTTTGTTTGCTCCACATTATAATAAAGTTGTCTCAGTTGAACTTTTTCTTAATTAATGCGCTTCAATGGTCAAATCAGCTGCATTTCTCCGGGGCGGTGCAGAGAAATGAAGCTGATTTGACGGTTGTTCCAGACGAGCTGGACAAAGGTGACGCTCCATGGCAAGCCGATTGTGTAATTAATAGCCACTTTTACCTATTACATGATACAACAGCATGCCATAATACTCTAGTGCCATCTAGGGGCTGAAAATGTGTTCAATACTTTCAGTCAAAATGAATGAAAATGGTCATATCTCAGCCAAAAATTGTTTTATAAATATGGGAAAAATCCATAAATATGTCACTTCAGCGTATAAGTCGCAGAATATGCAAATTATACACAAAAAACCGCAACTTATAAGCCAAAAAATACGGTATGTGGGATGTGATGCTTGATATCTCACTCAACATTGCATAATCTGTTGGTGTTAAGAGTATATGTTGAGGATGACTTTCAGCTACTACCATGCCATCTATTTGCCTTATAGCTGTAACTCTGATGTAGAGCCGTGTTTGTGTAGCGTAAGGCCAGTTAGCTAAAGCAGCTTTGAATGCGGTCGCCTCCAAACGTTAATCTGTTGTAGATAAAATATGTCCTGATTCATGCTCCATAATCCAGGTAGAAAAATCCAGCAAAGTTCAGTCAGGTCCTCTGGACGGTTTCTTTTTGTTGAAACGTTTCGTCTTTCATCCAAAGGACTTCATCAGTCCGAGGAGCCTCAACAAACTCAGTCTTATAAACAGCACCTTCACATAGTGGTCCAACCAGTTTGATGGTGCTCAGATGGTTTCTGGAGTCCGCCCTCTCCCCCGCCGAATCAAGATGTTTCGAACCACTTTGGCCATGACCGCCTCAAACGAGACTACTGAGACTGAGTTTGTTGAGGCTCCTCAGACTGATGAAGTCCTTTGGATGAAAGACGAAACGTTTGAACAAGAAGAAACCGTCCAGAGGACCTGACTTAACTTTGTTGGATCTAGTAGAGTAGATTACTTTGAGACTTTCAATAAAACCTGTCCAATGGTTTGGGAGATATTTTGCTAACAAGCAGGGTCGACTCCCAACAGTTAATGCCAGCGTTTTAAGCAAAGATGAGGTGCTCAGTGTGTGTGTTGAAGACAGTGCTCAGCTACCACAATCTACAAAGGTTCAGAAGTTATCGTGACAACAGACAAACAAATGCACACATCTGTCTCGGGCAGCTGAGGTTTGAGAGGACAGGAAAGAGACGCAGACAAACAGGAAGTGGTCCAGGTGTGGGTCATGTGACAAGAAAGACTAACAGGTTATTGACATGCAGAGTGGAGTGAGTACAGACAGAAGCAGAGTGAGGAAGTGTGGTCACTTTTTCCTCCAGCAGTCTAAGTCTATAGCAGAAGAACTAAGGGATAACTCAGGAAACCCCAACTATAGGATTTATCAAAAAGGAAAGTCTTAAAAGTAGAGGAGGACAATGTGTCAGCCTCACAGACAGAAACTGGAAGTTGGTTCCACAAGAGAGGAGCCTGAGAACTGAAAGATCTTCCTCCCATTCTACTTTTGGAAACTCTAGGAACCACAAGTAAACCTGCAGTCTGAGAGTGAAGTGCTCTGTTAGGAAAATATGGAACAATAAGGTCTGTAATATAAGATGGAGCTAAGTTGTTCAGATTTGGTGTCTTATCTGTTGTCCTCATATGTCTGTTGTTTACTCAGCTGGACCAGAGGATGACTACACAGACTATGTGGCGACCCGCTGGTACCGGGCCCCTGAGCTGTTGGTCGGGGACACCCAGTATGGACCTCCAGTGGACGTTTGGGCTCTTGGCTGCGTTTTCGCCGAGCTACTCAACGGGAATCCACTCTGGCCCGGGAAGTCTGATGTCGACCAACTGTACCTCATCCGAAAAACCCTGGGTACGATGAGAACGGCCTTAAAACGAACAAGAAGTTTCTGAAGAGTTTGGGATTTCCTTCAGTAAATAAAACAAGCTCACAAAATGGCCGACAATTTGATATGTAAACTGTAGAAGAGTAAAAAGAACCAAGATTTAAAAAAAGGTAAAACTTCTGCCCGTGGCTCGTTAGGGACACACTATCATTACCTGGCAGCACTCTTAATAAGACAGGCAGACCAAAGCGCAGTGTAGCAATGAAGTCCCAGACAAACGATCACTGTGTGAAAACTACAAGCTGTAGAGAAATATTTCCAGAACCGTCTGGTTGTCAAGCACAAGTGTTTTAAGCAGGACCAGGTTCTCAGAACTTACCTGGTACTCGCTCCTAAAAATCATGGTAAGGTATAAAATTTAGTTTTAGTATTGTCCACGCTTTATTGCTTATATTATCCATCCATTATCTTTTACCCGCTTCTTCCGTTTTTCGGGACGCGGGGGTCACTGGTGACCATGTCCAGCAATCACTGTGCGAGGGGTGGGGGACACTCTGGACAGGTCTCCAGTCCATCACAGGGACACATAGAGACAAACAAACATTCACTCGCTCATTTAGGGACAATTTAGAATTACCAATCAGCCTAACATGCATGTTTTTGGTCTGTTGGAGGAAACCGAAGAAAACCTATGCATGCACAGATATGGCTGGGATTCTAATCGGCAACCTTCTCACCGAGAGGCAACAGTTCTACCAACTGTGCCACCGTGCCATAGAGTTGCATTCGGGCCCAACAAATCCGATCCGGCCCCAGCCCGTAGCCATCATTTCTGAACCCCACCCCACCCAACAAATTAACAGTAATTACAGGTCCGAACCTGAAACCCCCCCCAGACATTTTTAATTAAGCTTTGACTTATAGCTATTAACGGTTGGTGGACGTGCGTGACTGAGGGGGCCGAAGATCGGAGCTGAGGGGGTGTTTGTCCTTTCATAGCCGTCAAAAGTGCATTAAATCTCTGCTTCTGCGTGCACTCTGCTTTTACTCGGACACGGATCCTGCTCTGACATGTCGGATATTTTGGGATCTCGCTTGTTTGGGTCTTCGGCCGCGCGCGTCCGCTTTATGCAGCAGCTGAATGAACGTCCATTTCAAATCAGTTGGCTTCGTTCGTGCTGGTCGCTTATTTCTGTCCCATCTGAAACTTAACAGAACTTTTTTTTTTTTTTACCTCTTTCAAGGCCGGTCAGCGCGCGATCAAATGACCGCATGCGGCTGGTGATTCTATGGCAAGCCATCTTGCCATATAATTGGATCGTCAGCTGCACGCGTCCGCTGACGCAATCAAAAGCCCGACACCGGCCCGGCCCTAATCTGGGTCAAAGTCTGATGCGGAGGAACAAATCAAAGCCGTGACGGAAACAGAAAAGTAACGAGTGAAATATCTTTCACAAACAAGAGGTCACGAGCTGCTTCCATGCTAAAGTCGCTCTTTTTGTCCAACCGTGTTGATCTTCAGGTCACGCTGTAAACAAACTATTGTGTGTAATAAACTGCCTGTTATACAAAAACTCTGTCTGAAACTCGTTTACCTGGAGCATCACACTGATTTCATGTTTTTCTCTAAATGTGGATCTAAACGTCTCATTTGTGACCTCAGGTGACCTGATCCCCCACCACCAGCAGATCTTTCGTTCCAATGTTTTCTTCAGCGGCGTCAGTATTCCTGAACCCGACACAATAGTAGGACACGAAACAAATGTGCACGATTACAAACGGTGATAAAGTACGATTTACATTTTTATAACCTGTTTATTTTTGTTTTAGGAACCTTTGGAGAAGCGTTACCACGGAGCGTCTCCTCTTGCTCTTCAGGTCATGAAGGTTTGTTAATTACACCGTTATACTCAAGTACACGTCAAACTGTGTGTGACAAAAAAACAAATGAAGTAGCATAAAGAAAACACCCGGTAAGTACCAGATACACACCTTGAAGGTACCAGGTATGTACCAAATAAATACCAGGTTTAAATCTTGTAAGTA